ATTATAGGGTTTTTATAGGGATTATGAAGGTATATACTAAACCCTGAACCTTAAACGCCAAACAGGCCTAAAATCTCCAAACCCGAACCTGCCTTCGCCACTGGTTCCGATATACTCGATCCGCAGCGTGCTGCGCACGTTGCTCAGGCTGCTGCGCAGCGGCCCTGGCAGCGAGGCAGAGGTAGGGTTTGGGGGTTGTTTGGGGAGTTGGGGATGTTGGGGAGGTTTTGGATTATGGGGACTTGTGAGGGTAGAAAAGGGGTCGGGTTGAATATAGAACCCAGGACCCACCCTCTGCACACAGGATCGTCGAGCCTAAGAGACCGGTGTACTTTGAGTTCGCGATGGCGTGCTCACTTCTGTTGGCGTACTGCCTTTGCTGGCAAGCAAAACTTCATGCCGCTTCAACAAGACAAGCACCGCTGCATGGCCCAACACGATGAGGTGCACCATCGTTCGAATCTTGCAACGCTTCAGGAGACTTAAGGCTGCGAATGGACGATTCAGGTGGTGTAAGGCATGCTGAGGCAAAAGAAGGCCCCCAAAAAGAATTGCAGCTGCAGCTAAGCGGCTTGTAGCCCTTCAACCCTCTGTAGACACCCTTCTCCAGGGTGCCATCCTTCAGGCCTTGATTGATCTGCTCATTTCGCTCCTCAGAGACTTTGCCGAAGGCTCGTATGGAGATTCCAGGTGTCTTTGATATCTTCGGGAACGCTGAGGTTCGGTTCAAGGTTCGTGGTTCATGCTCAAGGGCGCGAAAGGCATGTAGATGCGTGAGGTTCACAAGTTGAGTGAGCAAGTCTTGTAAGGCTTCTGGTTCCGCTTCCAGCCGTGCCCTTGGAAATGATTCGTACCAGGAGTGGCCTCAGGCAAGAATCCAAAGTACATGTCATTTCCACTTCTTCAACAAAACAAAGAATATAAAACTCACACAAGCTCGCAATGCAAACCTACTACAATCGCGAGGGTTACTTACTTATTTAGGGACACAAATGAAGCCCAAATCCTGTAGCCCAAGCCCTCCACAATCCTCAAAATCCGTTTTGATGTCCTCCAGCAATGGATCCCAAATCCTAAACATAAAAATCATGGGTTCCCCAACCACCCCCTTATATGGCGAGTGCCTCCCCTCAAGATTCCCCGTTAACTTGCCTTGACAAGGGCCCAAATAACCTTGAGGAAGGGGAACCTAGGAGGGAGTAGTATAGGTCCAAGGAGAACACAACCTGTCCCAAAAGCCCCCTTAAGGTCAAGCTGCCAGAATTGCTCTGTTGTCCTGGCCTCAGGGTTGATGTCGGACTTAAAAAATTCAAGGAGTTTTTGGGTTGAGGACAGGTCAGGGTGAGCTTTTCGATGAAAATCCTACCGTCTTGTTGCCCACATGGACACACAGCTCCGCCCTTGGTTTTTCATCACATGCATAGTTTGAAACAAGAGGGCCCCCTTGCATACGGACAGCCTCTTTGTCAACATTCCACGAGGTCTCTACAAATCCCTACAGAACCCCAGTTTCCGCTTAATTGTCCATTGCTTGTAAATTTAGTTGTCCATGGAACACACCCGTAAACCCTAAACCCCAATTAGCTCCAGCAGAAGCTTTCTGAGACCTAGGACTCAAGCCACAGACAAGGCCCCGACTTACGTCGGTGTCAACCTCCAGTCTCCTGGTTGCGTCGGACGAAGGCCTGCAAGCGGTTTAGGGCTTCGGCTCTTGGATTTAGAGTTTAGGGCTTAGGGTCTAAGGCTTACTGGTAGGATCATAGAAAAGCATTGGAGGTTTGAGGCGGGATCGAGACCGCAGCGCTGTGATACTTTTCGGTTGAGGACATGGTAAAGGTACGCTTCAATTTTGCTGTAACGCACAAACGGATCCGTCAGCTTTCCACTCGCTGCTTGCATGGACTGTACTTTCCGTGCTAGCGAGAAGCCTCTCTGCTGCTCAATAAAGATGCAAAAGAATCCTAACTGACCTGAAAGAAGTCAAAGCTTCAGTTTTTTGCTGGAGCTTCTTAGGCCGTGGAAACTACTACATCATTATAGGGGACGATCTAGGGATATTACGGGATATTACCCCCAACAATGGAGAAGCGAATGGAGAAGCAACTGGAAATGACATGGAGACTGTGGTTTTGTAGAGCTTTGTAGGCATTGGATTGCTTGGGGGGCTGCAGATTGCTTCTGAAGCAAGGACGCGCTTTGGAGGCAAAGGGAAGACTGCTACTCATGCACACACCTTACCGTCACTCTTCAGACTTGAAACGGAGCTGAGGCCGCCACGTATTCTCCGTGGAGCCGCTAGCCTGGCTCGACCAGAAATCTAGAAGCCACTGATGTAGACTATACACAGCTACGATCACGGTGCCTTGAAGCCAGAGAACACCGCATCTTGCTGGCGGCTTGCTATCTTTGCCTCAGAGCGTAATCTGCAATGAGGACCCGGTTTCTCGATAAACTGCTGCATGTTGTGATCGGAAAAACCCTGTTGTGGTTAGACGTCCCACATGCGCCAAGGATCCGCTTCGGACATCGGCTCCTTGCGCGTGGATGCAGCAATGCTGCCACCTGCAGGATTTGCTTTCCCCATCCACCCTGACATTTCTTGCAGGAGCGTAATTAATGTAGCAGCCTTCGCCGGTCACCGAGCTAACCGCAGTGGCGCTGCGCTTCTGCCTGGCCAGGACACAACTTGGTCCTCCTGACAGAGTTGTTTGCTTTCCCGCCACATGGAGATCTTTTGGACTTACGATTTCAGCATGCATCCGTCACCCCAAAACATCCCGTTGAAAGCCTCAACCGCCCTGCACATTGCAAACTCCCGAGCCTCTTGACGGGCAGCGGCACTGCTGAGTCCTCGGCCGGCTCCTCCTCCGTCTCTTTGGTCCTGGTCGCCTGGCCAGAGCAGAGTTGAGGATTTAGGGGCGCATGTAATGTTTGAGATTGCATGTCAGCCTGAATACTCACAACAGGGATTGACGAGGTTGAAGAAGGATGATTCTGGACAACATGATTCTGAGGATAGTTCTAGATTCTAGATAGCGCTACATGGCAAAAACGATTGGATAGCGTTTTGAACTATAGCTGGGATACAATGTGTTGAAAGGCCACAGGAGCTGCAGGCAAAAATAAAGGCTTCTACTTTGTGCTCTGGAGCCATCAGCAGCCGTCTGAGACTTGCCACCTCCAACACTCTCACCACCAGCATTGCCACCACCGTAACCCGCAGCCCCCGCAGTATTGGGAACCACATCAGGAGATGCAACAGAGTCTTCTTCTGCCACACTCGGCCAATGGCACACCCTGCTCGGCAGACAGAAGACCCTTTTTGGGGGAATACTCATGTCGTCACCCACGATATAATCTACAGGAATTGCTGAAAGGGGCACATGCTACAGGCTTGTTATAACCTGCTCTCATCAAGTTTTGTCGAATGGGGCCAAAGTCCGTCTGGGGTTTATACCGAACCTGTACGCATACATGCATATATTAGAAATATACGACAATATGTTTGTCTGCATACAGTGACCCATGCATGCATTAGCATTTCTGAGACAACCGTTCTCCTAACCTCAAAGAGGATCTGCAAAGGATCCCTTAATGAAAAACCCAAACTCTGAAGCCCAAATCCTAAACCCTTAGCCTCAATTTGTACATACTCTCTATGACATACACAAAGAATGATACGTTACAAGAAAATCCCCTAACTTCGTACTGGATGAGCTCTGGATTTGCCTTGGGCCGCTCTCGCTTCTTGAACATGGCGGGGGGCGCCTGGCGTTTTTGGAAGCTTTCAAGAAAACTTTCCTTGGGCTTTGACTGCCTCCTATTGAGTTTTGGTGAGGTTCTGAAGAATACGGCAGACTATCATGAAAATGAAGAAGAGGCGAATCTCAAGATAAATGGGATGAAACAGAAGCTATGCTAAATCTTTCAGGAACAGCATGCGTACTTCAAGTTTCTGTGCTTTCTTGATGAATTGAACAGGCCTTCTGGGAGGATTCTCAGCAAGGTTCTCCTTGATGAGTGCACTTCGTTTGGAGGCGCCGCAGGAATATGCTTGGACTCTCTCTGAATTTAGCCATGACGATACGACGATCTTGCATCCCAATGTATACTAGTATACACAGCATCTCCAAGTCAGCGTCCCTCCTAAGTGTGCCTGAAATACTATTATCCCCGTGGCAGGAACTGCTTTAAGATGCACCTCCGAGAAATCGAAGAAAAAAAAAACGTCAGAGCCGCCACCAGGTCTAATGACCCAACCCCTGATTGAGGCCAGTTCTCTACTACATAAGTGCAAGTAGACGGATCACACCATCTTTCGTTACTTCTGTGAGACGACTTCTGCGACACCTGAACCTCCAATGAAAACTGCTGTGAGCAGCTTAGCAGGACGGAACAGCTGCAAGTTTCTTGTCTGGCGAAGGCGGCGGCGGTGGCAGCGGTGGCAGTGGCAGTGGCGGTGGCGGTGGCGGTGGCGGCGGTGGTGGTAATCGTGATGGTGATGAAACTGTTGCTTCTGAAATCATGCATGATCCAAAGCGCCTTACGCCTTTGGAATTCTTGTATTCAGGTAGACTGCTACTTGTCAAATCGTGAATAATATTAGCAGTAGCAGCAGCAGGTGGCAAAACCAGGCGATGATCATAGTGAGGTGGTGAGCAAACCAAGGGAGAAGCCCACCTTGGGCTGACCTGGCACGGGATGGGAAAATATTAGCAAGTCTTGAACCAAAACAGCAAAAGGTGCATGGATAAGCCGCATCTGACAGACAAGAATGTACAACCTGCAACAGGTGCTTCGTCATGATTGGAGGCTGCCCTCGAAAAACCTTGAAACATCTTGAACTGCTGTGTTCCGCTTTGAGCATGGCCCCCACCCAGTAACAATCTATCATAAGGGTAACATGGGTAATATGAAGGGCTAGAACGAATTACAACATGAACATTATCCAACGATTACTCAGTGGGGGCAGGATTCAGAATGACACTTGGCTTTGGGGTCGATCTGAGGGCCGCACCCAGTCCGAAACCAACAGCAGGCCAGCGACAGTTTCCAGTTTTGTGCCACAGCGCCATATGCCGGAATGTGCAAGACCCCAGAGAATCCGACCAACTCCTCTACATTCATGACTTAGCCTCTGCATGTGATCTCTGCTCTCGGGCAGCACACAGGTGACAGGACGAGAGTGGCAGTCATCTCAAGTCAGATATAAGGGCTGGCTCTGCAGTTTCATATCAGTCTCGATCTAATCCGCATCAGTTGGGAGGTTTGCGCATGTGAATTTCTGCTGGCGGTCCAAGCTTGAGCCTGCCTGCTTGAAATATTGAGCCAGCTGGGAATATGCATGTTGTAAAGCTTCAAACTGCATAGACGCTGAGGATGCCTTGCGGCTCTCCTCACAGACCCCCCGCAAGTCGCTACCGCACACAATGACACCCATTTGCGCTATTGCATTCGCCGAAAGCCCGACCTCATCGAATATCACCCACTTCACCTGCAAGGCACTGGAGCTTCTCATGTCCGTGAGCTTGCACATAGATTAGGCATCACCACTAAATGACCAATGAAACATCAAACAATTGGATCACCCCTGAAGCACGGGCAGCTGCTCATGTGTCTACTTTGGAATTATCGCACTGCAGGCTTGAGCATTTCTGCTTCTGTAAGGCCTGGTTGAGACCTTTGTCGCCTCGATAGAGCATCGACCCTTGGCATCAGCAAGCATGCGCAAATATCCTGATGAATTATCCGCTTGGCTTCGTGATTCCCTCCATGCCTGTCACTTCATTCCACGGACGCCCACTGCATGCAAGGCCGGGGTAGGCACGAAGGATCTCCGTTGTCATGATGACACAGCTGGCCTCTCAACAAGCCATTTCATCACATGCTAGGTTCACGAATGTTCACGGAGAGCCCTGTCTTACATCAGCTCAAGTGTTGCAACCTCCAGTGGCCTCTGGGTTCACTGCCACATCGCCTGTGACCTGCTCGATGCAAAGCTGTGAGAAGATTTGCAAAGCGCGCCAAAGCCCAGTCTCTGAGCTTCCTGCAATGCCCACGGAGCCAAGGCCCTCAAAGCGGCGGGTGAACCTCGAAGAGGCCACTCAGCATCATTTTATCAAAAAAACGTCTTATACCAACATAGATGCCCTGCACTAAATACGCAGAATGGTTCTTTCCCTGCGGCTACACAGACTACGCGAGGACACGCTTGCTAGCCACTTACCTACAAGCGCTAAGCAGCATCCCTGGTCTATACAAAGTTCTATGCAGGAACTGTCATGTTTATCTTGAAAAGCTAGAAACTATGTAGACTATGCAAACAAAACAACCTAAATGCTCCTGCCCAGGACTGCATAAGACTACGCCCCGCAGGCCAAGGGTTCCATCGACGTCCCTACATAACAAAGTCAACTTCTGGGGCCCAGGCTCCTGGAACTTCTGGTTGGACAAGGCCTGGGAAACAGCCACACGCCCTGCCACTGAAATGAAAACAGCCTTGCTTCCGCTGAGATAGCCCTTTGGCCCATATGGCAGAGATTAGAGGAACCCAAAGAGGTCCCATGATTCGAGGAAGCCCCAGATCTGAGCCTTGATGGGAGACGTGTAGATAGTCCGCATCCCGAGCTGCAACGCATGTGCCACCGCATACTCTGCCACCACCTGCAATGCCGGTCAGAGCACATTGGTCTTGAGCTCAGGGTGTATATAGCTTAGGGGGTTTCCGGATTTGCCAGGGTGGCATGAACATGTATACATCATTGTTCTGGATCATCAGGATTATTGGAAATTTTGGCCTTGCATGAGACATCTGTGAACAATGACAACAAGATGGAGCTGCAGTGATGGACTCATTGTCTTGACAAAACTCATTGCTGCTTACTGAAATTCCTGCAGTCACAGCAGCAACTGTCAGATTCTGAAATTGTGGCGCGCAGCAATTCCCTTGTCCCACCGTCTTGCCGGCAGAGGTGTGTGCCGCCACCAAGACATGCCTCAATCAACAAGCTAAGGGGTTCTCAAAGTATTGGCATTCTTGGGGATATCGAGGGAGCCTTTACAGGTCTGCGGCAAGGATATCAGAGCAACCATTTTAGAAACCCGCAGCTCATGGAACAGGTCTTCCCCCAGTCCACACTGAGCCGTCGTCTCGCTTCTCTCCACGCGCCGCACGGCACGCTTCTGGAACCTCCCACTCCCAGGCTGGCCAGAACTAAGGTAACTTTTGGGCAAGGTTTGGAGGATGACACACAGGCTGAATTGAAGACCGCGCAACGGATCGAGCTCGAACGGAAACTCGAGGGCAGGGCTTGGAACCTCCGCAGTGAACCTCCCAAACTTCTGGGTGGAACCCTTCCAGAAGAAATACGCGTCGGAACCAAGGCCGCGGCCCTGACACGTCCCATTTGTCCTCGTGAGCCCACTCACGAGCGCGGGACTTCCTGCTCGCCGCCTGATCAGGAGCGGCAGAGCACAAGGGCACCGCCATCAAAACTTCAAGTTAGGCTGGCACAGCCTGGGCCGAGCACCCCGAGGAGGCAGCGGCCTTTCGAAGAAATGTGGCACAATCCAGGCTGCCAGTCTGTACTTTCCTCTGGCAGCCTGCCCCGGGACGTTGTACTGATCCTCCTGACAACCATGAGCATCGCATGAAACTGCCAATCCCGCTGCGTGGCTTGCGCGTCCTCTGAGGTATTCTCATCCTCAGAGGTGTCTTCCTGCTAGACAAAGCAAAAAGACTTCACGACACTTAACTCCAAGCCTGCTGACATGAAGCATCTCCCATACAACACGGAAAAAAAAAGGCCTCATCTGAGGCCGCAAAGCGACCTCGAAGCAAGTGCGATGACCTGGCAGACATGCAGCATGCAAGTCAAGGGTTGCGCCCCAAGTCATCATTTTGACCAAGAACTGCCGAAAACTAAGCCTCCAACCCTTCCCCAAAGGCCTCTTCCATTCACAACTCGAAACCTGAGGGTCAATCTGTAAGCCCAGAGCTACATGCAACTTGACAGCCATCTTCAGACCCGAGGCTCCCGCACCATGGCTCCATGTCCAAACAGAAAGTCATGCCTATGGCCTATGATTCAAACTCCCTTCAACCTTAAGGATTCTTCAGAGAACGTCTGAAAGCATTCTTCGGGTGTGACTACAGCTCGTAGCGCTTCCCTGATTGGTTCTCGTCCGTGTTCGGACATGTGGCTGATTCTGTCAGATGACCATTTCCATGGGCAGAACTATAGTCTAGTGCCCTGATTACTTGGGGACCTGCTACAAACCTCTTGGAGCTGTGGGGAGGCCCCATGATTTCAAGCCATGACTCATCCAAGGCTATTATGCTCAAACCGAAAGGCTGCGGGCAAAGCTTTCTCCATCTGCCCAAGCACCGGAATTCACCCCCCCAACTGAAAAAAGCCTTCCCTGCAAGGCATTTGGACGAATTCAAACGTCAGATCTTGCGCGGCTTCCTCCACCTTTGGTGAAATGCGCCGGCTGGTCGGCTCGATGCAAGAGTATGAGTATTGAAAAGGAACAGTGAGAGCGCATGCGGCACAGCTGAAAGAGCCGTAGCCAGCACGGCTCCAAAGCCATTCTGCAACGTCACCAAAGCCTGAAGAGAATTCAAGGCTTCTATTTGAACTAGCAAAGGAAACCAGCAATAACCGTGCAATTCGTCCACACCGATTTTCTGAACCGCATCAGCGCAAGTTCAAGGTGCGGACCGGCAAATGCAGAATGACAGCACAAAAAGAGGCAGGAGACGGTGCGGCAAAGGGGGTGAAAAGGAGCCGGGCCAGCTGTCAAAATTTTTGGCGCCGGCCCGATCACTTTGACAGGATTCCCAATGCCTTCTCGCCCATGAGGTCGCCATACTTCTTGGCCTCAGCCTTGTCTTCCTCTGCAATATCATCCCAGCAAGCGTTGGGGGTATCATCCTTGCAGTATGCTGCAAGGCAGCGGGACACTCCAACGCAGGAGCAGTTGAACTCACCGACGATCCACTTCTCCTCCTCCTTGGGAGTTCCCTCGGGGGAGGCCAGGATGAAGTCCGTGGTCCACCACAAAGGCACGGGCTCCTCCGCCAGCTCCAGGGATGGCATCACCTTCGGCAGGTCCTGCGCAGAACGACATTATTGCCATACGCATTCCAATACCTTTATTGATGGTTTAACCCTGGTATGACAAAGTCAACAGTGCGAGGAGGAGGCCTTTTGCAGGAAGTTGTCAGTGAGGGTCTTGAAGGTCGCCTCCTCCGGGCCGTAGTAGGTGTAGATGGAGCCGGTTCCACCCACGGCAGAGATACCACCCTCCTTGGGCTTCTTGTGGATAATACCCACAAGTGCGTCCACAATCAGGTTGTAGCGCAACTCGCCTGCACTGCAAATGCTCACAGACCTGGCAACCCCTGGCACATGATGAGACCTGCCACTGAAAAGCAAACTAAATGAGAACACCAGCATAAAGAATCACACTTGGCCTTCCACAATTCGTGGGCAGAAGCGCTGATCCACAAGCTGGCCACCCGCAGCCTTGCCACCCTCCAAGTATTTGCCCACGCCCTTGGACGTCCACTCACCCGACTTATCGGTGCGACCACTCACGCAGAACTCGATGAACTCGGCAACGGTGTGCGTCTCTTCATGGTTGTCGTTGGCCTCCATGAGCTTCAGCACTTCGCCATCCTCGCAGGATCGCTCGCCGTACTCCTTGCAGTAGTTGCCCTCTGCGAGCTTGATGATCCAAATTCCCTCGCCGGAGGAACCGCGATTCTGCTTGATCACACGTGGCTGGAATGCCATGGTCTTCTTGAATCCGGCAGCCTGTCTTTGCAGGAGCTGTTTGCTGGATAAGCTGATGTAGCTATGTCATGGGATAGGATGCCGACAGTCGCTGTAGACTATGCACGGTACAGCTCCCACTGGGGACCGCACGAAGTCTTCAGGGCTGTAATATGCCAGGGTATCCTCCAAGCCGATATTCAGCGTTGCCACCTCCCAGCTCCAGACACAGCCAGGGGGAGCATGATATGGATGTAGGATTGGCTGCAAGATGCGATAGCAAACAGAAATCACGCTCATGTTGCATGCGCATCGACTGGAAGACCTTCACATTTCCTTGTTCTTATGGTTATGAGGAGTAGTAGTACTACTTGCAGCAGTGGTCGTCCTAGATGGTCCTCACACAAATGGTAGTTGTAGTTGTTAGTATTGCGTGTGCTGGTGCTGGATTTTCTCTTCCTCTGCTGCTGCTGTTCTGCTGGAGTCCCATGGCTGATTACTAATCCCTTGCACTTTGCGGCTGCTACCGTTGCATCTGGCCTTGCAAAGGGCATCCTTGGCACCCATCTTCTCCATCACATCCGGAGAGGGCCACACCTGGCCGAGGAGATGTGGAGTTTAAGACCCAACCATTTTGGGCTTGGGAATGCTTCAAAATCATGGCTTGCAGAAGGCCTTCTAGCAAAGGACCGGATGCATAGGTGCTAGGCAAGCTTCTCTCGGCAAGACCCGCCTGGATGCCGGCCTTGCGAAGCTCACGCATGCCATCATCAAACTTCTGCTGGTCCCCGCCATCTGCCTTAATCTGACCTTGCAGATCGGCATTGCAGAGTTGTCTGCTTGCCACTTTGGAAATGAACAGCGGCACCAGCAGAGGACAACTTTCGAGAACACATCTTGGAATGATGTCACCATGACCCTAGCAAGAAAAGTGGCCTGGATTGCAGCGGACAATGATGAAGTTGAAGGCCTTGCACATCTCGAAAAACACGTCGTGCTCTTCGTGCGTATAGTGGATCCTTGAAGCCCAAGACAGACATGAGCCAGACGATTAAAGCAAAAGAAGCCTCCGAAAAGCAATGCCATTTGTGAATGAGTTGCAGCTGGCAACTCATGCCACTTGAGATCATGCCGTTGGCAAATGCCATGGAATCGTAACGGTGACCTGTGAAATCCAGTAAAGTTCTTCAGGAGCGTAACTCAGGCTGGCATTACAATCCTGGAAATCAAGGGAGCGGAGTTCTAAGATCAGAGCCGTTGTTGCTCTTGTCAGAACCTGTGACATATTGTATTGCAACAGACATCCAACAAAAAATGCAATTGCAAGGTGAACAAAACTGCAGGTGCCATGGAGGTCCAATCAGGCAAAAAAATCCGACAAGACTGCTGCGCGTGCCTCCATAGGGCTGGCTTCGCACAAATATCTGGGCAAGCGCACCCTTGAACTTCGGCTCGGCCGGCTGTGCCAGCAAGCCCTTGTAGTCCTCGCTTGTGAGCCGCTAGATTCAGACATTTGCGGCAAAGGAAGACAGGTCCAAACCAGACTGCAGTGAAGCTGCACCGACCCCATTTGCAGTTTTCATTTAGGCTGCTTAGACGCAAAACACATCAGAGTCCTTGGCAACAACAGTGATCTTGCTCGTGTCCACAGGGCCAGGGCATGGGCCTCCCAGCATGACAAAAAATAGATTTCCCGCTCGTTGGCTACATGGGAATGCCAGAACTTGGCCTTTGGCAGCAGCGTCACCTGGCTCGCATGATGCTGTGCCAACACATACACTACTGCAGGGCTCAAATCTTGTGTGCCACACCTGAAGACAAGGCATCCTTCACCTTTGCAAGCTGATCAGCCGGCAGCTCCTCTGCACATGCAACTCGGCTCACAAAAAGGAACCTGAGTTATAAACCTTGCAGAGCAAACCAGTCAATGCCCAATGCGTCCTTCAGTGCTGCCGCAATCTCATCCACAGACTTGGCCTGGATCTCGTTCTTGACATCAGTGGATGCTGCGGACCTCTCGTCAACAAGCAGAACACTAGAATGTGTTGCACGGGGATTTTGCTTCGGTCATCCCTGCATCATAGATGTCGGGCCCTTGATCTTGAATTTGAAAGGTACCAGACACGTCTGGAGGTGGCATTTCAAGCAACAAACCCGGAAAATTTGCTGGCTTCGTTGCAGGCGAAGAGCCCCATGGTATCGAACAGGAGATATCAAGTTTGCGAGCGCGGGGGGGAAAATTTTGAGCCTCTTCTGCGGGATAGCATCAACTACATCCATCATGGAACAACAAAGCCCTTCCAGAGTTGTCCAAAAGCTGGGATATTCATTGCAAGTTCGTTCCGTGCAACTTCATAAATTTTACTCCGAATAGTCTAACTGATGAAAGCCTGTCGCTGAAAGGCACCAGTCAGGATTGGCTTGCATGATGAAAATCTTAGCGGCTTTTGCTGCTGATGCTTGGAACAAGCTTAAACATTCAGGCGTAGTCACACTTGGGGCTAAAAATGTGCATGAAATTGAAGCCTCTTGCATGAAAATTTCTTTTGCGGTCATGAACATGTCCTGTTCTGATTGAAAAAAGAGTGGTCAACTGCTTTCTCTTGACTTCTACTGGCCATCTAAAAGACAATGAACGTGCAGAAGTATGAACATCAATAAGGTGTCTGAGGAGAGTATTCGCAATCTACGATATGTGCCCAATATACCCAAACCTGAATACCCAGTACACCCAAATACCCTGTACACCCTGTGTACCCTATATACCCAACATACCCCAATGCACCCCAATGTATCTTGAGATATACCCCCATAATAGCTTACCATATCCCAGCATACCCCGAAAATACCACACCACAACGTATTGTAGCTCAATAGGTTCGATGACACCCTGCCTATTTAGGTGCATCGCACCAACCACACCCCACCCTAGGATAACTCGATCCCAACATCCCAATCCAAACATTGAAGATGCAGCATTCGTACTCCACAATTGGCAATTGGCAGCTTCACGTGCTGCGCGCAACACCAGATCATGCTCCGGGTGTAGGGGAAGCAATCAGGAAATCGTATCACCAAAAAGAAGCAGAGCCGGAGTGATCAAGAGCTGGGAAACGGGGCTCGTGACATATGAGGTTTGGTTTATGGATGTGAGGATAAGCAAGTGGAAGTCAACAAGCTAGCCTCCAGGGCGTTTTGTTCCGGTTTGATCACCATAGAGCCACATGCTGCCATCTTTCAAAGCAAATCGGTTTTTTTTTTCGCCGGAATCTCAGGACCCATCCAAAACTCGTCGGTACTGGCGGCAGCCATTATGAAAATGGCAGTAAGAATAATGATGTCATAAAAATGAAGTATTGCATGATGGCGAATGGCGAAGTTCCTGGCATGTGTTGGCATCTGCTGCGTCCGGCTTCCGACGTCCCAAAAAAGTTTGAATGGGGCGAACGCTCAGGGTTTAGTTGCGCGTTGAATCCGCGCACCGTGCCCTGCTGAGTGCCTTTACCGTTGTTTCTGATACTCTGCGTCCTTGTCGGAATTTGTGTTACCTGATGGAAAACCCAGACAGAGGCGCCCAAAAGAGATTGATCCCTTCCAGAACCGGTCCTTTTTCCTGGTTGCGCCCAACCCCGCACCTAGCCTGTGGTCCCTCTCCCTAAGGGACAGGAAGATCAACCCGTCCGCTGCTTCTGTTCCCGAAGGGACTTTTTTTCGGGAATCAAACTTTTTATAAAGAGGAATGCTGATTCGAATATTTATTCCAAACCAGTTTTCCTGAAATATTTCATGTCGAGAATTTCCGAGGATGCTGACATGCATGCATCAACAACCGATGTCACGCGATCAAGACAACCATGTTGAGTGCAAGGAAATTTTTGATAAAACCTTTTGGGGTTAAATAAAACATTGTTGATTTCAAGCCACATGAAATGCAATAACATTTTGGAATAAGATGTGCATCCCGCTGGGAGTGAGTACTTCCACAAATGATTGACACAACGCTGGTTGGGACCTAGTCCCAAAACATCTTTAACCCAAAAACTCACGCGAGGAGCATACCACCAAATCAAACATATCTATCAAAGTTGCAGACACTCACGGACCGTTCACTTTTTCAAGTGGGGCATGCCTGTATCGAATCCCCGCAGCCACCCCAATCCCCGGAGACAGGAATGGCCGGGATCCCACGCACCCCTTGAAGGGTTCACTGCTGAAGTCAAGTCTGCTTGGGCCAGCAGCCACATTAGAGGCAGTGCCAACACGCTCAGGCCAGGACCGGAGCTGCAGCGCAAGCTTTTTGGAAGCAATATCAAAACACCCAGGTGTCGGCAGGCTCTGCATGTGCATTGCAACGAATGTGCGAGTGCCTAGCTCAGACAAGATCCCCTTCCAAAGCTCAAGGGAGATAAGAATCGGAGCGATTTCCAATTCATATTTGGGGCTGCTGAACAGCCAAGAAGCTGCACAAGCTGCGTTCAATTGATTCTCCAAAGAATCCCTGTTAGGACTGAATAGGACGGCCCGAATGCCTCCCCAGCATTTCTCGGGCTCACAAGTCCCATCAGTGAACAAGATCCAAGTGTCTTGGGAACACATCTGAATGAGAAGTGGAAAAGATGATGTAACTCTATCCATCAAGATGCGAATTGACAAATCAAGCTCATGGGTCAAAAGCACTGCAGAGGCTGCGCGTTTGCAAGCTGCAGACAAAGTCTTGATAGCACGGTTTGGCCTGCCCCGAAGGAAAAACCTTCGAAAAGAAAAACCCATGCAGCTCCTAAGCCCTCTTGCTTCCAGCATGCGTTTGTCAAAGATGTGGAGTGGAGTGGCGTGGAGTGGAGAATTGACCGAGGCAGTAGCCGTGGCCTGGCCTAACAGAGAACGTCACTTCCAGCCCAAAGGCCCAAGGTGAACCATCAACACACACAACAGCAACCAACATTAGTCAACAACGGACGAGATGAATGAACGAGCCCCATCCGCGAACCGCGGAGATGCCACCGCAACAGAGAAGGCGCGCCCATGAAGAGGTGGCGCGGATGCGACCGCGGCGAAAAAAAAAAGGGTCCGTGGCGATCTGGACGGCGCGCAAGGCACTCGTGCCGGCCTCGTGGATCACCGAGGTGGCCGCAGCCGTTACGAATTCCGGCAGTGCGCGCCTATGGACCCAACGTCGTGGTCTTGGAAGGTTCAAGCATGTGGACGTTCGTCTTTGTCACCTGCAGAATTTGGTACGTTATTCTGTACTTGCAGTGTGGCCTGTGAACACGAAGTTGAATGTAGCGGACTTGACCACGAAGAAGTTGTCTAAGAGCTGCAGAGAATTCTTGCTATTCTACTGTGGAAGCATAGTAGAAGGACCATTTTTAGAACAGGGCAGCAAGAAGTAGATCAGCGCAACAAAGAAAGGAAGCTGAAGGAAATGGTATTCAACGTGATAGGAACCTCGTCGAACAAATTGAAGAAGCGTCTGATTCAGCTGGTCACAGCATTAGCAGTGATCCTGTTTTTATGTGTATCCTCAGTGGTCGCCGGATTCGGAGCCGGATGGATACCGAAAGACTGCGATGTCATGTTCATTCTGAGTTTCAAGAACAGAGTTCCGCACCACGAAGAAGTCAGCAAAGCTGAAGAAGAAGCTGAAGATGTTGAGGATGCTCAAGAAGCGACAGAAGGAACCAGTGAAGAGCCTCATCAGAAGAACCTCGAAGCGATTCTGTTGAACCTGAGCAACCAAGAGCTCTACATGAAGTACCTGTGCCTTAAGGAGAAGCTGGAGAATATCAGGGATGGGATCAACGGTTAACAGCCTGTCCTCAAGCTGTGCCAGAAGGACCGCCTCAAGCAGTACCTATGACATGTGAGAAATACACGACGCAGGATCCCTCGAGTAGTTCCTCATTACCAGGAAGAAACGTGTGTCATAAACCCCATTACAGAGACCTGACAAAGAGCAGGCGGTACAACCTTGGTGGCACTGCAGTGGTATCTCCACGGTTTGTGTCGTCTTCTTCGTGGCCAAGTTTGGTGGCACTGCAGTGGTATCCCCACGGCTTTTCAGTCAACATCTTCGTGGCCGAGTTTGGTGGCGCTGCAGTGGTATTCCCACGGTTTTGCAGTCAACATCTTTGTGGCCGAGTTTGGTGGCACCGCAGTGGTATCCCCACGGTTTTCCAGTAAACGGTTTTCCAGTCAATTTCTTCGTGGCCGAGTTTGGTGGTACGGCAGTGGTATCCCCACGGTTTTGCGGTCAATTTCTTTGCGGCCGAGTTTGGTGGAACGGCAGTGGTATGCCCGCGGTTTTGCAATCAAATTCTTCGTGGCTGGTGGCATGGCAGTGGTGCCCCACAGCATTGCAATCAACATCTTCGTGGCCAAGTTTGGTGGCATCGCAGTGGTATCTCCACTTTTTTTGCAGTCAACGTCTTCGTGCCTGAGTTTGGTGGCACGGCAGTGGTATCCCCACGGTTTGGCGGTCAATTTCTTCGTTGCCGAGTTTGGTGGCACGGCAGTGGTATCTCCACGGTTTTGCAGTCAAATTCTTCTTTTGTGGCTAAGTTTGGTGGCACCGCGGTGGTGTCTCCACGGTCTTGCGGTCTTCTTGTGGCCAAATTTGCTGACAAGATATTGGCTTTTCAAGGTTTTGTGGTCATTATGGCAGGTCGCGGGCACCTTGCAGTTGCTGCAGGGCTCTTATCGTGCTCCGCCCTATATGGCACCTCACCAGGCGCCTCTTGAATCGACTAGCCCACATCGTCCAAGGCAACAACGCCTTGGTTCTAGTAGTCGAGAACGAGGCGACATACAAAGTGTCGGGCAGCCGCTCAGAAAGAGCCCAATCGAGTTGGGGTTGATCTCCGTCTTGGCACTGTGGCCTGTGGCTGCAGGGCCTTTCTTACGGAAGGGGTCTGCGGGCACGCAGACTCTGCCCTCACAGCCTCACAGCAGCCAGAGCTTGCGCGGCCCCTCCGCAACTGACCCCAGCCCCTGCTTTGCAGGCCTGGCGGCTGAGTCCAAGAGCCTCACGGCAATGCTGCTGTTCCCGCCATCCAGGACGCGCCCAAGGCGGCGGTCCCGGTAGGGACGCCCCTTGAGGTAAGGCAGCACGCAGGAACCGGTCTGCGCCTATCAAAAAGGTGTCGGCCGCTGCACCCTCAATTCCAGATCTACTCGGAACTCTGACTCTTTGGCAACT